ACGAGGGATATAGGGCTCTAAGGGTGAATGGGGGCTGGCTTGGGGCAGTTAAGTCGTTTAAATAGGGTGCAAACCCCTGAAACTTAGGGTTTCATCCAACAACGGCGACTCGCCGAGTCCAGGATATGGACTCGCCGAGTCGCCAACTTAAAACGTGACCTGGGTCGCGTCTCTACTCGGCAAGTCGGACCTATGACTCGCTGAGTCTAAGGCTAAAATAGGAAATATTCGAATAAGATTTACATACCAGAAACCAGGTGCTCCACATGAGGAGTCGCTATCCACATTTGTTTGTTGATGTGTGATTCCGGGGACGGAATCATTCTATGGTGGAGAGAATTGTAACGCCTGTGTTTCCAGGCTTGCCATTTTTAGCAATGTAATGGTCTAGGTTAACCTTTGTAACCCGTTTTGAAATAATAGAAGTGTATTATTTGAGTATTATGTGTTTTGTGCTTAATTGCTTAATTATGTGGTTTGATTAATTAAGATTAAAAATAAGTGTCAAAATTTAAGTGTAAAATAAACTTGATATCTTTAGATAATGTTGTAGTGGTTGAAACAAGGTTTCTGAAGATATAAAGAATGCTGAAATCCGAGTTATATCGAGGAAGTTATGACCTGTCGAAGTTTCGCGACAGAACCGGCAACGCTGAATGATGTAAAAAGTGAAATTTACGTTAGAGCGATATTTAACCTTAGTGATCTAAATGAGAATCGAAGATCTCGTTGTTAGTATCAAAGCGATAAAAAGTTAGGCGAGAACGGACGTCAAACGAAGAAGTTATGAATTTTTAACGAAATTTTATGTCCCGGCCTATTAAAAATAAATAATAAAAATAAAGTCAAAATTAGCCGACGGAGTCTAAACGAAAGTTGTAGAGCGTAGTCTCACCTTTCCGTGGATATAAAGAACGAAAACGGAGTTCGTATGAAGAAGATATGAATTTCCGAAGTTTATTAATTAATTTGTATTTATTTTTAAATCAAAATTCGGAAGCCTTATCCGAAGGCGAGTCACAGATCTGATCCGACTTACGCGCCGCGTAAGTGAGTACGCCCCGCGTACTCCGAAGAGTGTCGACACTTCGGATGACGCATGTAGTGACGATTTCGGAAGCAGTACGCGCTGCGTACTGCAGTACGCCCCGCGTAAATGAGGCTCCCAACCTCCTATAAATAGGATGCGAGGGCAGCCGGCCAAATTGCTATTTTTCTCTCTTCTCTCTCCCGTTTTGTATCGTTTTGCGTGCCAGAAATACCCCGAAGCCCCGGTAATATTCCCGAGTCCCGAGATCCCGAAGATCCCGAGAAGTGCGGTTTCTGAGCCGAAGCTCTGCCCGCGAGAAGTTCGATTTTCGTGGAGATCTTCCAGATCTGCTGAGGATTACGACTTCTGCAAGCCGTAGTGCTGTCCGATCATCTTCTGATCAAGTGAGTGTATACTACCTTTCATAAACGCAATAATAATACAAGTATGGTTTGAGTGTATTAAGTTTATTGTCGTTTATACGTGTGAATGCGTTGTTAATTTCTTCTAACGTATAATTATGAAGTATTTTATACGAGATACGTGTTATGTGTATATTTTGTTGTTATGTGTGTGAATATATATTCACTTTCTTCTGTCTTACAGATCTGATTATTTCTATATGAAATACGTGTTATGTGTGTGTGCCTCATCTGTTATATGGAAAATGTATTGATCAAGCATGCTATACAGGTTTTGAAAATATGCATAAAAATATATATGTTTTTATCTACTGATATGTTGGGTAGAACATGGGTAGATAGTTGGTGTGTAATAAACAGATGAGAGGCCTCATTGTTGTTTTGATCCAGTCATCTAGCGGAATTTAGATGACGACCACGAACTTTTCTAGACAGTCCAGTGGAACGCTAGCAGACTCATAACCTGTAGGTGTTAATGAACTTGGGTGTTCATTCACTGTATTCCATCCCCCTCATGGTTGCCTTATTTGACTTATATTGCTGAGGAACCCCCGTAGCATGTGTTGTCACCCCGATGAAAATATTCTTAGATTAGGTCCCTTGTGTTAGTTATTTTAGGCACGTAAAGTGAGAATAACGAGAATGGGTAACTGGGTTATTGTTGGTTGATAATAATTAATTTAATTATTTATTGTGGGTTGAAAACCCTATATGCTCACCAGGCTCCCAAGCCTGACCCGCTTAGTTTTATTTGTATTAAAGGAAGTGGCGCAAGGGTGTAAGATGGATGAACCATCAAATTGTTTTGTTTATAAGTCTGTATATGTAAATATTTGTTGAATGACTTGTAATGTTATCGTTTATGGTTGTTGGTCTATATCGGAACATGACACCCCGAGTTTTGATTATATAATGAAAAATACATTTCTTTTATTAAATGCTTTGGTAAACATTGTTTTATCATGTTTTGTTTTTGGGAACAAATTCCGCAACTCTTTCAAATCAAAAGGATTTACTCTGAATTTATTTTAAAAGCATAAATGAAAATCGGTCTTTTCTGGCCGAGATTTTGGGGATGTCACAGTTGATGTGCAGCTTAATAAATTCACCATAGAATAGGTGTTTTCTCTTCTAGCTGGCATCAGAATTTGAGCTGAACCAAATACGCATATATTTTCTATTGGGATTATGAGAAAATGAGAAATATACACATCAAACCAAAAATATGATTTTCTGGAATGAGTCATTTGTATCCCTCATAATGGAGTAGACATGGAGCAGGCTTCAGAAGCATCAGTTCACATTGTATTTAAGATGGAATAGAATGAGAAATCCCATAAAAAGAAGGAGTTTCTGACAGAAAAAGAAGGAAGCGATGAGTTTTCTAAAAACCAACAACAAATCCCCACCCTCCATGGTGGCTTTTTACCACCTGCATCACCACCCCTGCTTTTCAAATTCGATGTTAACGTATTTGTATCACATTTTCATCCAAAGACATCTACATCTCTATTTGGGTTCGAAACTGTGTATGAAGGTAAAGATACTGGTTGAAACCTGGGGCATTTTCAATGAAAGGTGAAGAAACCTGGGACGATAGCTATTGTTCTTCGTCTTCTCCACCTTCTTTACCCATCTTGATCAACAACCATCACAACCAAGCACTATTACCGTTTATCGTCTTTGGAACTGAAAATCCTGTATTCTCCCATAATTGTATGGTTATGCATCATTCACAATGGATCAACCGGAAAACACGAAGAACTTGATTGAAACTTGTGGAGTGGTATACGAAAAACGAACGGCTATATTAACGGGTGAATCTGGTGGTGGTCGGCGGTGACCGGAGGAAGGAATCGAAGGATCTGGAAGAGTAAGCCCATATGAGCATTCAAATATTTTTGTTTTTTTATGACCATAATTAATTTTTTGGGGCTTCAATCAGTGGTTTGGTTGGAGAGAGAGAGAGAGAGAGAGTGAGAGAGAGAGAGAGAGAGAGAGTGGGGGGGGGGGGGGGCTTTAATATTAAATAATTGTATTTGTTTTTCTTTTTTTTAAAAAAATTAATGCAAAACTTCATAAATGGTCCCTGTGGTTGTGAAATGATTGAAATGCCCTTCACTTAATGGTCAAAAGCTTAGCGAAAAGGACAACTTGTTAAAAGTTTTGAAACCACAGGGACCGTCTGTGAGGTTTTTTGAACTTAGGGATTAAACTTGATATTTTTGAAAACCATAGGGACCATTTTTGAAGTTTTGTCTTATTTATTTTTTTTCAATTTTTTTTATACAAATATTATACTGTTTCGTAGGGAATTAAAAACATTAAATTTTAATATATTTTTTTTATAATTTTTTAGTATATATACAGTTTAATAAATATTAAAAACACTGGAAAAAAAAGATCGATCATCTTTCACTATCTTTATTTTTTTTCAATTTTTTTATACAAATATTATACCTCACTCTTCCTATTTAAGCATTACACTTTTAACCATAGGAGAAGTCTTTCAATCAACACAATGAATATTTTTGCCAATATCTTGTAGTAAAATTAACAAAATGACTCCTTTAAATGCCTAAAGAACAAAAGAAACAGCTCTACACGCATTTCTGATGCAAATTTCAGTTTAATACACAGATACACAGAGAAAATTAGATTCAGGTGTACCCATGAATCGTAGTTAAATTCAAAAGTAGAACAATCTATGGAGGAAAATTCAGATTCTGAGTCAGACATTGCAACAAACACATCGTGGGCATAGAAAAAGTCATCTTCAATCTCACTAAAAACCCATTTTCATTTTACAAATCTTTACTATTCCAGGTCAAATTCTCGAAAACAAGTGAAAAAACACGACATTAGTAAAGGTACTCTAAAACCCTATATAAACAAAATCAATTTCATTTCAAGTAATTTGAAAGACATTTTGATAACTGATGAGGATATGGTAAGACATCTAAACTTATTTATATCTTGATGCTGAAAAAATACAAATCACGTGAAAAGTTATGTCACAAAGAAACAGCTTTAGGTAATCCCTAAAGTAAAATTTCATGTTCGAATATCAAATTCAAAACTACATATCCTACATATAAATACTGTTGTTATGTCTATAATTTCTTAGAATATGACATGATATTGAAAATTTTAAGAAGAGTAATTAAATACGTCTTTATTCAAAACTTTTGATTATGCTGAATTCAGACATATTAAAGGGGCATAAGATGAGAACCACATGAAACTTTCCAAGTTATGTTTTGGCGTGTGAAAAGGTTTAAAGAATGGATGGAAGGAGGAGAAGAGTCGTTGATTCAAAAGTCTTGATGAATTATTGGTCAACAAGGAGAAAATTACCAAAGTGACATAGTTTCTCTATATTTTTGGAGTAAACATTGGGGCAAGTTGAGTCTTTTGAGTGTGAAAGGTTATTAAACGCTACTCACATAACTTCCTCTGGACAGCATATAGACCTAAAAGATATATATATGTGTGCATAGACACTCATGCATATAAGTTTCTTAAACCTTTTCTGTTGGACATTTGAAATGATTCGCGTCTTCTTTTTAGCCTCACTTGTTCTCTCTTTTGTACCTTATATTCACTCTGCTACAGAACTCAACACTTCTCTGTCTATCTGCCCAGAAAGTTTCAGTTGTCCAAATTTGGCCTCCTTCACGTATCCGTTTTATAATAATGCCACTGACATGCAATGTGGGTTGATTAAGGTCATCTGTACTTTGAATGGTGGGAGTATTCAACTTGGAAGAAACTCATATGACATTTATAGCAAGTATGTGTCTGATCCGATGGTCTCAATCCGTAATTTAACATTTGAAAAACTTGTAAATGATAGCAATTGTGAGGCACTTATGGATAATTTCATTTCTCCAAGTCCTCATTTGTATTCCATCTCAATCGTACCCTTCATCACTCTCTACAAATGCGCAAAGCTTCCAAATTATGTTGCAGAAATGGAAGCTTATTTTGACCAATCTAATTACAATAAAAAGAGATGTGGAGATTACAATTTCTACTATAACCATTCCATCAGTGATAGAGCAGTTCCAAGTGATCTCCCGCCTGCATGTCAAGTAATACAGCTGCCTGTGAATGTGGGAGAGAGAAGTAATGGTAACGAGACTAACATATTTTCTCTTCTTAGTTCTGTAGTCTCTATTTATTTTGTAACTCCATGCAATAAGTGTCAAAAGGAAGAGGGCCGATGCTACACTCTCAATGGACACTTCCAGTACTGCAAAAATGGTATTTACACCTTTTTTTTTTTTTTTTCCTTTGTGTTAACTCCTTATTCTGGGTATACCGGATAATCGATATGTCTAACTAACATATATATAACTTATCTTTTGTTGTCTGGTTGCTGCAGAAACATCAGTCAGAAAACGGAAACTGATCCTAGGTAATACACATCTTTCATCAAAAGCATTAGTGGTAAATATATATAAATGCATACACACACATATACATGTAGAATTTTTTTTTGTGAAGGGGTTGCATTTTCTTGCTCTAATTCTTGCCTGATATGCCTTCGTGTCCTCATGCTCTTTCCTGTCATATTTCATGATATGGTATAGGAGCTACTACCCTTTTTAGCCTTTCTTGTTAGAATCCAGGTGTGAATGAATAGATTAGGTTGAACGGGTTTTGTATTGAGTTGAAGATGGGAGAAAGTGAGATCATGTCACCATCTATATTGTCAATAACCAAGACTGTTGCAACTCTATTCCACCGAGCAACTCAATTTTTTTTTTGCTCGCAACATCTAGTGGCTTTGTTCATTAATGTCTCTTTCTGGATCAATCAAACCTTCATTAATCCAACACCCAATCTCTTCAAATTCACCTAATCAGAGAATATAATTGCCCTAGACCAAACAAACACCTCTTTCTTGACCTAAAACTCGCTGGGGATTTTAATCCAACACCTTGCATGCGTAAATGGCAACTCTACATCAACCTAAAATTATCTGTAGAGAGAGCCCCCTTCTAATTCAAATCCCAAAAAGGCAAAAAGCAAGACAACTCAACAAAATGAAAATGATTGAAACTTCTTTGTTACTTGATTCTGAATCGAAAACTTACCAAAAATATTAAAAAAAATACACATCAGTGTTGTGAAAATTGTAAATCTAAAAACTATTTTCTGCCTTTGATCTTGATTAAGAATACAAACAAATTCTAGATCGTCACCAACCAATTGCTTTCCAATGTTTTAAAACCGGGTTTTTAGTTGATTCGGTGTGATGACCAGTTCACGGGTCAATCGGTTCAACCGGTTGAACCGCCGGGTCAACCCGGTCTATGGTCTTTTTCTATTTTTATATATTTTTATTGTCCTGCATAATGCATAAACATATAAAACCAATAATTTGATGTCCATAAAGTTTAAACATTGAAGAAACCACAAACGACTCGTAGTTTTGACATTCGCTACTTGTATCCAACTATCCAAACCCTATTAAAATGGGTCAATCCGGTATAACCGGTCGAACCACGGTTTAGGGAAAACCCGGCCGGTTCGATCCGGTCCGTATTTTTACAAAAAACTGTTCACAATTGACTCGCCTTCTACTCCGGATCACGGTCTAACCGGTTGAACCAGCCGGGTTGACCCGGGTTTTAAAACACTGTTGCTTTCCTCCATCACCCTTTTACTTTTTTACTTTGATTTGACATCATTTTTTTTTATTTTTTGTTTTTATTATTATTATTTTATTTTATTTTATATTATTATTATTATTATTATAATTATAAATTTCGATAGCCATATATGGACAACATTATAAATTCGGACTACATTATAAAATTCGAACGACTATATAAAATGAAACAAAAGTAAAGTTTGCTTTCAATCTTTATTACGTACCACCGAACCAATTAATATATCCGTGATAAATAAAGACAAACTTTGCTTTTGTTCCGTTTTATATGGTTGTTCGAATTTTATTATGTTGTCCAAATTTATAATATCGTCCGAATTTTAAAACTTCATTCTAATTTTAAAATGTTGTCAGAATTTCATACGGTTATTGAAATTTATAATAATAATAATAATAATAATAATAAATAAATAAATAAATAAGTACTAAAAACAACAAAAAAAAAAGGAAAAAAAAAAACAAAAAGACAAAATAAATCACATCATATGATGAAATTGGAAAAAAAAGAGGAGTGGTACTTACAACGTTAGTCAAATGAAAAATCTCAACTCACTTCTCTTTCTCATCTATCTTATATCTTATTATATCTTATTACACATCCTAATTAATGTTATATTACTTGTTAATTTATTGATTATTCATTTTAAATTTCAAATTTGAAATTTTTATTTTTTTCACTTTAAGTATATTAAATTAATAACATTAAAATAAAAATTAAAATAAAATTAATACATATTATAAGATGATATAATTTTACATATTTATAAATCAACGATTATAATTTTATATAACTAAAAAAATATCTCGTAATTAATAATTTATTTAAAATAATTGATTAATAATTTTTAAGTTTTTAACATGAAAGTTTAATTAAATTTATAACTGTATTTCTCACGGGTTATAAACTAGTTGTTAAGAATAAAGGAAAAAAAATGATCTCGCGAAGTTACAATACACGAATTTTCAAATGGAAAGCTAAATGGCTGTCTCTCAAAATGGGGTCAAAACTAGGATATCAAAATACCATGTCGGATCCGATCCTAACGGACCCATTTTCCGTACGAATGATATTTTTACAATCTTTTGGGTTCGGGGGCAAGAGTGGGGGCAAGTTTTACTCTTGTGTAGTTTTTGGGTGCAGGAAATTAAATCTCGAATACCTTACGGAGGCCTCGAAGTAATTACCCTATATATAATTACGCTATATTTAACTATTATATTTATAAAAATAAATATTAAACTTAGAATACTCATTGAATATTGTATGTTTTGTATTTGAATAACTAGTGTAATATTTAAGGTTAAACAAAATAAACGAGCAAAAAATAAGGTAAATAATGTTAAATAGAGGATTTCAGGGCTATAAGAGGTTTAGTGGAAACGAAGGAAGGATCGGGGCAGTCTTTAAATTTGGGGGCAAAGTAACAGGGGAATTTGAGGTTTGGGGAAGTATAAGAATTCAGTGGCGGGGGTGGGGGAGATTATTTTCGCCTCCGTTTGATCCCATTGACATCTATAGTCAAAACTCATGTTTTGCTTATGTACAGCTATACAACAAAGAAATGTAACGACCGAAAAATCCAACTAATTTAAATTTTTCAAAAACAATCCGATTTTATTAAATTATTACAAAAATGTTTTCAATACATTATTTATCAGAATATTCCCAGGTCCATTTCATGAAACATAAACGCGAGGAACGGTACGATCATGCTTTTGCCTTGCCACAGTCTCCTGAAGAACCTGAAAAACATTAAACCACAACTGTAAGCCCGAAAGCTTAGTGAGATACCCCCAAAATACCAACCACATATACGCCCTTCCAGGCTACGACCTTCCGGTCCAAAACATATTGCCTTCCGGCCCATAGCATAAAAAGCATACATAACATAACAGAACATAGAACAACCATGCATATCGGGTCTACTGTGTGACTGGTCCGCCGTATCGGGCCTTCAGTACACCGGATCTACCCTCCGAGTCTAGTCATGTCCTTCGAGTCTACAGTGTGGTTGGTCCGCCCGCACCGGTCCTTCAACCCACCTGGTCCACTCTCTGAGTCTACAGTATGACTGGTCCACCCGCATCGAGCCTTCAGTCGGCCTGGTCCACTCTCCGAGCCTCGACACGTCTGGTCCGCCCTCGTGGGGCCTATAGCCTATCCGAACCGCTCGCTGGGCCTTCGGAACAACCGGTCTGCCCTGGGTATCTTGGCCTACAACACAAAGCAGGACCCGCCTCAACCCATCTCCAGTCCAAACAACCATGTGCACATAACATACAATCATATAATAATCATAGTCAACAAACCAATCAAGCAGATCACATAGCATATCATTACCTTAACCAGGTTACCGACCTAACCGGTCACTAGCATAGCATCACTCTACATATCGGGAAACTGAACTTAACTAGGTCTCCAGCATATACCATCCTAGCTACCAGGATGCAGACATATCAAACAATAACATAATAACCATATCTGAATCTCAATCCAATAAAGGGCTGGCCTTGGTGCCTTAGACCCTGTTGATATAGTGAGGATAACTCACCTCAAAACTGCCGGCTGAAAGGATAAGATCCCGCTGTTCCGAACTCCAACATGAACTCCTCCACTGAACACCAAAACACTCAACTCAATATATATATTCTTAATTACCAAAATACCCCCGGAAGACAACTGGTCACCTTGAACAAAGTCAAAGTCAATCCCTGAATGACTCTACTCGCCGAGTCAACCAGATGACTCGTCGAGTCCCTATGCTCAGAACTTCCCTCAATCCGCGACCTAACTCGCCGAGTCACCCCGAGACTCGCCGAGTCCAACAACTTTGAGTCCACTCGCACCCAACTCACCGAGTCATCCCTTGACTCACCGATTCTCGACTCAACCAGAAAATATTGGGACTCTTCGACAAGACTCGCCGAGTCTAAGGCTATCTTCAACCTACTCGCCGAGTTGTTCATCCAACTCGTCGAGTTCCAGCTCATCTTCAAGCAACTCGTCGAGTCCACCCTTGTGACTCGCTGAGTACAACCGATCTAAATCCAAACAGAAGCATTCCAAGCCATGCAATTGATCCTAAATATAGATCTAGCCTCCTACAATCCATTCATCACGTAAAGTGGAAAACTTTACGTGAATCCAAAGAGATCTAGGCCTTATTCACTTTAGAGCTAGGGTTTGGGACACGATGGCTTCACTAAGCACTCAAACACAGGAACTTTAATGCACTCTAGGCCTTCAATATTCCAGATCTGAGGTAGCAACCTCAGATCTAACCTCCAAACTCCAAAACATACCAAAATAAACTCCCCACAAACCCTAAAATGATGAATCCATATGAGTGATAGCCCAAGAACGAGATGTTACCTCAAAAGAATGCCCCAACTGCAATGAAAATCGAATCCAAGCAAAGCCCTTTAATCCAAGCCTCTTCTCCTTCAAGATTTCTTCAACAAACACATCCCCAAGCTCCAAATGTACTCTAATATTCTTCAATCACGCTTTCTAGGGTTTCTGGACTTCAAGGGGGATCAAAGAGGCTGGGGAGAGGATATAATGTTCTTTAAATAGGGCTCATTCCCCGGATTTAGGGTTTTCTCCACTCAGCACCTACTCGCCGAGTCCATCTTTGGACTCGCCGAGTAGGCCACTTGACTCGCGACCAAAGTCGCGACCCTACTCGCTGAGTTGCCCTTCAAAATTTACACTTTTAGTCCTTCAACTCTACTCTTTCTATTCCGGGATGTTACAATTCTCCCCCACTTAAATTAGGCTTCGTCCTCGAAGCCTACGACAACTCATCTCCAAAAATACTCCCACAACACGCCACCTGGCCTTAACCGGACCAGGTCCCTCAAGGCATGCCCATTGAAACTCGAACTCACTTTCTCCTTCCTTGCGGTGTCCTGACCACCGTCTTAAACCGGGCACCGACTTTACCCTACGATAACCAC